AAAACAGACCTGCGCTGGCCAGCGGACCAGGTTCAAGGCGTTTGTTGCCATTGGGGACTACAATGGCCATGTCAGCCTGGGTGTTAAGTGTTCCAAGGAAGTAGCCACTGCCATCCGAGGGGCCATCATCCTGGCTAAGCTCTCTACTGTCCCAGTGCAGAGAGGCTACTGGGGGAATAAGATCAGCAAGCCTCACATTGTTCCTTGCAAGGTAACAGGCCGCTGTGGCTCTGTGCTGGTAGGTCTCATCCCTGCTCCTAGAGGAACTGGCATTGTCTCAGCACCTGTGCCTAAGAAGCTGCTAATGATGGCTGGGATGGACGACTGCTACACTTCAGCCAGGGGCTGCACTGCCACCCTGGGCAACTTTGCCAAGGCCACTTTTGATGCCATTTTCAAGACCTATAGCTATCTCACTCCTGATCTCTGGAAAGAGACAGTGTTTACCAAGTCTCCTTACCAAGAATTCACTGATCATCTTGTCAAGACCCACAACAGAGTCTCTGTGCAGAGGACCCAGGCTCCAGCTATGGCTACAACATAGGGTTTTTTATACAAGAATAAAGTGAATTAAGTATGTTTAAAAAAAAAAATCTCTCAGCTTTCCTCCTCCTAGACGAAAGAAAAGAATGTGTGTCCACAGTGGTGGCAGAAACCGTTCCTTCCTTCCGCTGGACATGCAGCCCCATCACGTTTCTCATCCCTCCTTGCGGTGAAATGTTATCATGGTATTAAGTTTTTTGGAATGGAATTTGAGCAGCAGTGTTGTCCACCACATCCACGCCTGGTGTATACAAACGTCCTCCGTGCACATCACCAAGACCTTTCCCCTCTGGCAAGTGGTGGGACGATACCAAGGCCAGGTGTTACAGCTGGCTGAGCTGCCATCAGCCCCCGTCCTTAAATAACTGCCCAGAAAACAGCTGCCTGCCTCTCTGTCAGGCACTTCTAAATAGGATGGAAGTGAGAAACAAACCTTGTGCTTAAGTCATTATGAGTTAGGGTTTATTTTCTATAGCAGTTTAGCTGACATTAATTAATACAACAGCTACTTTTCTTCTCTCCGTTCTTAATGGGCAAAGTGGCTCTCCCCTGGCTCTCCCCTGTCCCGTCCCAGGGAATCCGTCTGCTGAACTCTGGACTCCAGCCCTACCCAAGCCCGATTTTATTAATTATTTACTGTCTCCTCCAGGCCTTCCAACATACCCTTCCTGGCGCTTCTCCCTCAGCACGTAGACATGATTGTATCTCCTCTAACAACTACAAAAAAAAAAATCCTACATTACACAGTCTGTTATTTTCCTCATCTCAAATTTTCTGTTCTCCTTCCCTTTGTGGTCAAGTCTCTCTTACCCCAGTGCCCCCCGCTCACTGCTCATCCCTCCGTCCCCACGACTGTGCTGAAACTGCTCCAGAGCCAGCCCCAGTGACCTGCCTCACAGGCTGGGGTCCTGTTTCACTTCTCGTCTGACTTGGCATCCGCTCTGGATGGCTGTCGTGCTCCTGAGACGACATATTCCAGAGGACTCCTCTCCTCCTGGAGCCGCTCCTCCTAAGTCTCCTCGACAGGTTCTTTCCCTCTTTCTCTTTGGTAAATGTGGACTCACCCCCTACCCGCTCCCATTCCCTTTCTCAGCAGTTTCATCCTCACCTGTCATCCAAATGACCATTTAATAGATGCTAAGGTCACATAGCCCTGGAGCCTCAAGTCTATACATTACCAACTGCTTTCTAAATAGTTCTACTTTACGGCCTGCAGGCCCCTTAACCTAGTATGTCCAAAATTGAATTTACCTTCTTTCCCATTTCCAAAAACTACTCCTTCTCTATCTTCCATCTGGGTCAGTGGTCACCATGCACCAGCCAGCCACTTGAGCAAGCTGAGCTGGTTCCTCAGCCCTAGAATTCTCTGGCTCCAAATCCTATGTAAATTCACCTACTAATTCATAAATATCTCTCAAATCTATCGTCTCTTCTTTTTTTTCAGTCACTGCTGACTTCAGACTCTTTTCACTCCTTTCTTGGATCATCACAGGAACTTCTTCATTTATTTATTTATTTATTTTGGAGACAGAGCCTCAAGCTATCGCCCTGGGTAGAGTGCTGTGGCATCACAGCTCAGAGCAACCTCTAGCTCCTGTGCTCAAGCAATTCTCCTGCCTCAGCCTCCCAAGTAGCTGGGACTACAGGGACCTGCTACAACGCCCAGCTATTTTTTGGTTGCTGCCGTCATTGTTGTTTGGCAGGCCCGGGCTGGATTTGAACCTTCCACCTTCAGTGTATGTGGCTGGCGCCTTAGCTGCTTGAGACACAGGCTCTGAGCCTATCACACGAACTTCTAAACTGACCCCCTGCAGGCGGCCTCATCTCCCACCTCCAGCCTAAAGAATTGATGTTGTTTCTTTCTTTGTTGGTTTTCATTTATGTGACTTTTTTCTTTCGTGTGTTTTCCAAACTAAAAAGCAACAGACTCTTATTGCTATCAGATAAGTTTATAAGGGTATTAAAAAAGTAAAGTCACCCCTTATCTATTCTTATATCTTTTTTTTTTTTTTGAGACAGATTCTTACCCCCTCAGTAGAAAGCTGCGGCATCACAGCTCACAGCAACCTCAAATTCTTGGGCTCAAGTGATTCTCTTCCCTCAGCCTCCAGAGAAGCTGGGACTACAGGCACCCGCCACAACACCTGGCTATTTTTATTTAGAGATGGGTCTTGTTCTGGCTCTGGCTGGTCTTGAACTCCTAAGCTCAAGCAATCCATCAGCCTCAGTCTCCCAGAGTGTTAGGATTACAGGTATAGTCCTTAAATCTTACCCCCCAATACATATACATACATTTTTTTCTAAAAGTAGGATTTTATTAAACATGCTGTATTTCTGCTATTTTAAGATGTACTTTTTCATGTTTTAACTAGTCTCTGAAATCAAAATGTGTCATACAATCAATGCTATCTCAAGTTTGGTTAAATTCAATACTTTCTGCAACGTGCTCTTTTTACTTGTTAATATTGGTCATGATTCCAGTTGGGAATTGGGCTTCTTCAAAGCAGAAGAATTGGGCTTCTTCAAAGCCCGCCCTTCCCCTCAGTGTCCTTCATCTTCTGACTCCCGTCTACTTCTGCAGTTTCCAGAACATCCACACACATCCTCTTCCTAAAAGTCAAGCTGGCCAAGCAGGTCCACTGGCCATTAGCTCCCCAAATATCCCTGCTAAGCCAGATCTCCAATGCTTTTGCTTTTGCACCAATGTTTACTTTGCCGTAAAGGTTTTTCTCACCTTTTCTACTCAGAGGTGCCTCTTACTAGAAAACTGTCCTGATCCCTGTCACTGAGCCTGAGTCTTCCCTGATGCACCTCAGCTTCCACAGCACCAAGTCACTTAACAGGCAGATCCATGTGCTTCTCTTGTTGTTTCTGATGAAAGACGAGTTCTCAAGCACACTTTGTTCTTTATACCCATTTCCAATGGTGCCAGTGTAGTTACCTCATGAGTGTATTTGGAAATAATGAACTATACATGAGGGAGGCAGGAAAATGCACCCGAGATAAGGGAAGGAGCATTCTAAGTAACCATCCCTTGACCCTGAGATAAAAGAAAGAAGGGGGCCCCGGTGCTTGTAGCTCAGTAGTTAGGGTGAGGGCCACATACAACAGGGCTGGCGGGTTCGAACCCAGCCCAGGCCTGCTAAACAACAATGACAACTACAACCAAAAAATAGCTAGGCATTGTGGTGGGCACCTGTAGTCCCAGCTACTTGGGAGGCTGAGGCAAGAGAATCACTTGAGCCCAAGAGTTTTAGGTTGCTGTGAGCTGTGACGCCACAGCACTCTATCAAGGGCAATGTAGTGAGACTCTGTCTCAAAAAAGAAAAAAAGAAAAGAAAAGAAAAGAAAGGAAGAAGGGGAGAGAAGATCTGGATACTAAAGCACCTGAACACCCCTAAATTTAAAGCAATCAGATTCTTTTCTTCCCATCTCCTCTTGGTCTACTGATTTCCACCTTCAGCTCAAGGTAGTTTGATTTCAACAGCCACACCGTGTGACAGCCCTCTCATCCCCCAACCCCCACCTACCTTTCTCTCGTCTTTTTAAGTTTTTCAAATCCAAACCTCAGTCTATATCCCTTTTGCAACAAGTCCCTTATTTTGTAACCAAACACTTTGAAAAGTACCAAAGAAAGATTCTTTCCAGTTGCCCCCCTACATGCCCACCTGAGTTACCCATCTGCACTCCCTTCTGCCTTAGGTACAGACACACCTCACTCAATCCCACCCACACCCAAGACTCAAAGAGGAAATAAATAGAAAAGAAAGCCAGGGTTTAATATAAAACCTTTACTTCAGTAACTATCCTGAAGGCCAGATGCAATGGAAAGACATCAGTGGAAACAATTATCACCCTCTCAACCCAGCACTGAGTTTGCATTCTAGAAAATGCCAAAAATAGACAAAATGTTTCAAGTTCTTCTGTCTGACCTAGATAATTTACAGCCAAGGATTCCAATTCACTCATGGAAAAGTACCAGGGTACTGTTGGGGACTTAAAATAAAGCTCAGTTAAAGTGGCCTGTGAGGCAGTCACTAAAATTGGTCCATGTTAAAACACAATTTTAGGTCCAGCATATGCACTTTCAATATTCTCTCAGCAAAAAGAGTAGAGACTTACGAATAATTGGAACTAATATAGAAAAATGGAATGACGAAAGGTGTACGAAGAAAAAGACAGGCAGGTAACAGGAAAAGATAAAATAGAGACTTTATGATGAAAATACAGTAAGCATGAGCGGATTCTGAGAAATAGACCTATTTTCTGTCAGTGGTGGCTGAGGATAAAGTAGGATGCCTGGTAACTCTAAGAAATGGGGAAGCCAAGCCGAGGAAAAGCATGAGAGGGGCTGGGAGCTGAGATAGGTAGAGAGATAAGAGGCAGAAAGGATGTCTTGGGGCCTGTGAGAGGCCCTCAGAGAAGATGGACCTGTGGGAAGATAAAACAGAGGGGATCTCAAATGTTAGGGGGGTAAGGGCCATGAAAGGTAGCTCCAGTCTGCACATGGCCTGTTTGGAGGGACGTGCACAGCCCTTCCACCGAGCAGAGGGGTCAAGTCAGGCCCGCCCACGGCACACTCCACGCCGTGGACCCGTGCAGGGAACCTGACCTTCCCCAAGAAAAGACTTTGCCACCAAGCCAACACGAAGGGGACTGTACACATCTCTGCTGTTCACGAATTTCAGAGTAAATAAAAACAATAACTCCAGGAATCAAATACCTTACCCCTCCAATACATAATTCCTGTTCATTTTAGCTGCGGGGCCTATAAGTATTAAACGGTGATTTTTCCCAGCAACTTAACGTGAGACAATTATGAAGGAAAACAGCCCAAACCAACGATGGCCCCAGAAACTTTCTTTTGAGCACAGGAGGAGGTGGGAGTATGTGGACCCCTTGGCTCCGGCTCCTCCGAGCCGCCCTGTCAGTGTATCCACCTCCGGAAAGACCTGGTGTGGACGCGCAGTGAACTTCGCGGCCCTCCACACTGCCCGGGATCTGGAATTCCTCCCCCCGCGTTGATACAGACAGGCACCTCTGGGTGAGACCCCAGCGCCTGTGAACCTGCACCCCGCCCCCACCGACTTCAGCCTCAACTCGAGCCGCGCGCAGGGAGGACAGGGACGCACCTTCCTTCGCTCCTTCGCTTCCGTTTCCTACGTGGCGGAGACGCAGAGGCGGCCTATCGCCTACCTGCCTTCCAGGTCCCGGCCGGGAGCTGCTGCGAGTCCGGCCGAGCAGTTTGCTGCCCTCGGGTTCGCTGCGGACCTCACCTGCCGCGGCGCTCTGCCGCCTGACTCATCCGGGATGGGTGGCGCGGGGTGGGGAAGACCCGGGAGGGTGGAGGGACAGAGGAGGCGGGCCGGGCCCTGCCCCCACAGACCGGGAGGAGGCGTCTCCTGGGCGCAGGTGAAACCGACTCCAACCTCTCCCGGGAACTTTTGCCGCGGCGACTGGCTGCGGGCGGCCGGCGTAGCGCAGGGGAGGCCTGGGGGCCGCCTTCTCCCACCCAGGCTGTGCGCGGTGCCTCAGCCCCGGGCCACCCTCTGGGGACCCACGACCCTACTGGCGCGCCCTGGGGAAGCAGGCAACGTGGGCCTCCGCAGCTGATGGAGGCGACTGGTTCTACCCCGGGCGCAGGTGACACACGCCCGGCCAGGGTTCCTGCCGGCTGGGAAGAGGACCGGGAGCGCGAGACGCAGACACCCCGGGAGCAGAGGACGACAAGGCAGAAATGGCCCGAGAGCTGAGCCAAGAGGCACTGCTGGACTTTCTGTGCCAGGCAGGGGGCCGAGTGACCAATGCTGCTTTGCTGAGCCACTTCAAGAGCTTTCTCCGGGACCCCGACGCGTCCCCCAGCCTGCACCAGCAGCGCCGAGAGCTCTTCAAGGGCTTCGTCAACTCGGTCGCCGCAGTGCGCCAGGACCCCGACGGCACCAAGTGCGTGGTGCTCAAGAGGAGGTACAGGGACCTTTTGGGGGAGGAAGGGCTGCAGCGACCCCGCGGGCCGCCCGCGGCCGCCACCCCAGCAGGAGGAGCTGCGCCCTGCTCCCCGCCCCAGCCGCAGCCCGGGCGGCGGCGGCGCGAGAAGGAGCCGGAGGAGGAGCCAGCAGGTGCCGCGGCGCGGGCTGTGGACGCAGGCTACGATGGACTCCCGGCCAGCGGTCCCCGGGAGGCGGCCGGCAAGCCGGGCGGGCCGCCGGGGAGCCCGGGCCGGAGGGCGCGGGTGCCCGCAGCTGCAGC